TCGGTGGAGGTGTTATGGTAGCAACAGCAGGTGGTTCAGAAATCTATAAATAGGGCTTTGGATTCCACTAAGGATCTCAACCTATTCTAGTTCTAGAACTCTCCCCAACATAGTTCATGAAGTGTCCCTAAAAACCGTTAGAAACCTAAACATAAAATGCACATCCAAACCCCCTTTAGTTCTTGAGGTCAACCCACAGGTACAAACTCGGACCCATGGGGTAAAGCATATCCATTCAGTGCTCACGTCAGTTTGGAAACATGATGTGGTAGGTGCTTCCACCCGCTCTGACCTTTCCTAGTGCTGCATGGTAGCTTATTCAGACTACAGGGTGTCAGGCACTGACCTTTAGGAAGGACTGATGTTAAAGCTGATGTCTGAGCACAAAGGTAAGTGTGGTACCCGTACTGCTACTGTCTTCTTGCACAACAACAGCAGCCCCCTTTCTCCATGACTTTTGAGAGGCTGCAGTAAGACCATTTCCTCATATAAATGTAGTTGGCTTCCCCTTGACGCAAACTTTTGACTTACTCAGCTGATTACAACAAAGAACCACGGAAAAGTATCCCAGAACACCTTAATTTGAAGAACCTGACCTAGAAACTGCCCTATGGTCACCAGATTTGGGCTCTGAAAGTAAAGGGAAGGAATGCTGAATCATTCTGCTCGACAGAGACAAGCTATAACATACCCAGGTTTCCAGGTCAAACTTATTTTTTTCTGTCTTGGTATCTGTCCCTGAGTTCGTGACTATACTTGCTTTTTGGGACAGTTAATTGTAAAGACCTGTGGCTGGTCAAAGAACTTAATTTTCACTAATGACTCTGTCCTCATATAATGGCTCATCACAAAAACATTTACACATCCAATCGTGATCTCCCAGACACAGAAGCTAATTACAGCAAAGTCTCATATATTTCAAATCACCCTTTAAGTCACTTCACTCAGTCATCCAACAAACATAACTGGAATGATGATAGAAAATACATTTGAGAAATCCCTAATCACTTAGTGGGAAAGAGAAGATAAACTTTGTAAATAGAAAAATTACAATAAAATATGATGAATGATACTTTAAAAGGTATGCACAATGCTATTTGGCAGCAGATGAAAGAGGGAGACTGCTTGGGGGCAGGGTCGGGAGTTCAAGGAAGACTTTATGGAGATGAGTGACTTGAACTGGATATGAAGGATGAATAAAAGTTTATCATGTGGGAGGAAGCTGGACCAGATGGGCATCTTATGGCAGAGCAAACTTCAGTGCAAGGGGCAGGGTGAAGTCAGGGAAGGCTGATGCGTGGGGAGGCGTGGAAGAGAGGAAACAGAAGTTCTGGTTCTGCTAAGTCCTTATTGATGTTTCTGAGTTGCTATGTAAAGAGAACCTAGACCTAGCACACAATAGACACTATATGTATGTGTGTGTGTATATATATATATAATCTCCCTTTGGCTATTATTATGTGCATTTTGGTGCCACAATCACCACCATTTCATCCCCAGGGTTGAGAATAATTAATAAACATTTGTTGAATGAATGAAAGAACTTGAGGTTTCTATGAAGCAAATGAAGATGGATATGATTCTCATGATGCTCCACCCAGCAGAAAGGTGAAGGGCAGTGTTTTCTACAGGATTGCTTCAGTCACTTGAAGGTCATTCCACTTTTTCCAGTAGTCTCCCCACCCAAATCTGTGCTGGGGAGGGTAGATCACTGGGTTAATCACAAAACCCTGCATTTGCATTGCACGTTCAGTTTACTTGTATTATCTTTAAAATAACTATATATTTTTTTTAATGCAAAACTTTTAATCTCTTGTCTGAACCCTATTTCCAGATACCATCTGAAATTCTTTCTCTGGATTTGGGCCTCCACAAGCTCAGGAAAGTATTTAAGCAACTTCCCGACGCACTGACTCCTTCATCTACTCCTTAACCAAAACCAAGAAGGAACAGAAAGAAAGAAAGGTAGGAAGATTTTGTAAAGGTGGTACGTTAGCTTCCTAAACTATAAAATTACTTTGCAAAGTCACTATCTAGCTTCAATTTATTGTAATTCAATTTGGTCCAATTCCACATCTGCTGAGAAAAGTACTGCAGGTTGCAGATGTCCCGAAGCACACTTATTCCATAACATGGGGCTGGGAACTAGGACATCAAGTTTTTAACGTGAGTTTGCTGCTAACTAGCTGGATGACACTGAGCAAGTTATTTTATTTCTTCGATCATCAGGTTCTTCATCTGTAAAATGAGGGGGTGAGAATGGATGATCTGAGAGTCCTTCCCAGCTCTCACATGCTATAATTCTGAAATGGGGAACAGTGTGCATGTCATGATAACCATCTATTTCTGTATTTCAGAGACAGTGAGTGCTAGCGTTTTTTTTCAAGAGGGATATTTTGGCTTAGCAAATCGCCAAGGGTTTTCTATAGTTTGACTGCAGAAGAAACTGGGAAATAGAGACCATAATCTTTATTTATTAAAAAATGTTTCAGAACCTATTATGCACACACATGGCACTAGTCTAGTCACTATTACAACACTGAATGAAGCAAACGAGTTTACTCTTCTCAGGGAATTCACTTGCTTGGGCTTTAATCAATCCACCGCACAACAAATAAGTCATTTTAATGCTTTAGATGGCAGAAATAATTATCTAACAAGTTTGTTTTATGTGTTATGATATGTGTATGGCTATCTCTGAACTAGCAAAAAATCAAAAATGCATAAAAAAATACATGTTTTCAATTTCTCAGTTGACTAGGCAAATAACCATGTACATTTTATTGTAGTTTAAAAAGAAGTAACTCCTGCCCTGCCTGGGATGGGTCAGTTGATTGAGCGATAGGCCTGCAAACCAAAGGGTCGTGGGTCTGATTCCCAGTCAGGGCACATGCCTGGGTTCAGGGCCAGGTTCCCCAGTGGGGGATGTGCTAGAGGCAACTACACATTGATGTTTCTCTCCCTTTTTCCCTCCTTCCCCCTCTCTCTAAAAATAAATAAATAAATAAATAATCTTTTAAAAAAGTAACTCCTGGTTCATGAATTGATTGAAATGCACATGAATTCAGTAAAATTTTGAGACACTAAACAGAGGGTCTAAATGTTTCCTGTAGCTCTAGAATTTAATTTTCTCTTTTCCCAGGGTTAATTCATTAAAATGGGACTTTAGATATAAAAGAGAGAGCATTTTTCTACTCTTTCATAGCATGTGTCTATAACAGGAACATGTGGAATTTTGGTTACTGTATCTAAAAAAGGCGTCGTTACCCTGGCCAGGTGGGTCAGTTGATTGGAGCATCATCCTGTACACCAAAAGGTTGCAAGTTCGATCCCTGGTGGGGACATTACGGGAGGCCAATTGATGTTTCCCTCTCATATTGATGTTTGTTTCTCTCTCTCTCATCAATAAACATATCCTTGGGTGAGGATTAAAAAAATTTAAAGGCATCATGACAAGTTATAAATAAATAAATGGAAGAACAAACAAACCAGCCTTGGGGTTGAAAGATACATGTACTAGGTCCAGATCATAACAGCCAAACCTTGGTTCTTGAACCTCTCCCACCTTGAACAAATTGCTTCTTGAACAGCCTTCCAGAAAGGATTAAGTTCGAGAACCAAGGTTTCATTTAACTGTGGTACTGACAGAAATTCAGAGCTGGAGGAAACTCAGACCATGATTTTATAAACTAGAAACTTGAGATCCAAAGACATAAAGTGACTTGGCCAAGGCAAAGTCATATACTTGTTAGCAGCAAAGCTAGTAAGAATCCAGGTCTGCAGATTCCCTGTTCAGGAATTTAGTTCTATATTAACTGAGAGTTACAGCAAATCAAGGATAGAGAGATGGCAGCACCCTTTATGGTTGATGGGTGCTGTTTTAGACTAACTGTAAGACATCTAATGTTTGTAGTATATTTCTCCACTGGGTTATACAATCTGATGTTACTTATGAAGGATTTAGATAAAATTTTGGATGAAACATCTAGGACAGATACATTCCACTAAGAAACAGGTCATATTCAAAATCTCATTTGTAAGTAGCCAGTTCAGAATTTGGAATCCTTTTCCTCCACCAAAGAGGAGTAACAAATTACGAGTTATTTAGGTAAGTACGTTTGAAATAATTTGAATGGTATCCCAAGAAGCACCCTTAATTGGACTCAAACACTTCTGAGTCTTAGACCCTCTTCTGAAGTGGCTGCAAGCTAGGAGGGAATTCCCCAATGATGGATTCCTAAGTCAGAGATTGCTTGCATTAAGAATAATTAAAAATACCTAAAACCACAATGAACCTTCTGAGGTTAAGGTCACGGATGATAACCATGTCTTGCTCAAAAAAATCTCTTGGACATAGCAGTGAAGAAATAAGTGAGACTAAAATCGTCTGTACCTGAATCTTGGCTTTTCTGGAATCAGAATTCAACATTTTTAGGGTGAAGGATGAGCTTAAAGAAAACCTATCAAAGATCTATTATCCCACTTTACACTCCAGAGGTGACTCCAATCTTTCTCAGATTTCTTCCCATATGTAGGATCCTAGATTGGGAATAATATTCTATGTAGTGCATTACTGACGCTTACACACTCCTGGAAAAGTTTTAAAACACTCATCTTAATGGCAATTTTTAAAATATAACGTGGGCTTCTATAAATCTAAACTGACAGGGTATCGATGCAAGCAGAATTTGCAAATTTGGGACTAGCAGATTGATTTTCCTCGGACCTCCAGGCGACTTCAGGTAAATTTGAGTTCCTCCTAAAACAAAGTCCCCTAACTCCCACTCTCAAACCTTGGCCTCTGGGCAGATGCTGGTGGTCAAAAAAACTCTCAAGGTTTGGAACTATCTCCAACCCAAAAAGGTCTCGTGGGCGAGGGAGGCTGGTTTCGGCGACCCCAAGGAGACTTGTCTGGGGGAGGCCCGGGGGCGCGCAAACACGAGCTGACTCTCGAGCATCCAGGCGCGCCTCCCCGCCCTCGCGGGGCCCGCCTCACTCACCGAGGTGGCCGCCGATGACGGTGACGGCGATCTGGTCCATGAACACCGCCCGGAAGCGCACGTCCTGCTCGGAGCAGCGCTGCTGGAGGGCGCGCAGGATTTGCACCTGCGGGTAGTCCTCGCGGATGCGCCGGTCCGTCAGGAACCAGAGCTGGGAGCACATGGCGGCCAGGACAGCGGCGCCCGGCGGGCGCGGACCCTCTTGGCTCCCCGGGCCACTAGCTCGGGCTAGCAGGCGGTCGCGCGCCGCGCCTCCGCTCCCGCCGGTGCGCCAGGCGCCTCTGCAGCCCTGACCCAGCGAATCTGCCGGCCACTAAGCGCCGCCGCCGGCCCGGGCAGCCAATCAGCGCGCGGCGGCGGGCGCGGGCCAGCCGCGCGGCCAGCTGCAGAGGCGGCCTGCGGTGCCGGGGGAGGGGTGGCGGTGCCGGCGGCCTGCGGCTGCGGGGAGAAGGGATGCTGGCGGGGCTCCGGGTCCTGGGGGCCTCGAAACCGCGGGTGGGAGAAGGTGAGGCTGGGAGAGGGCATCCTGCCCTGGACCCCGGTGGGCGTGGCGCTGCCTGTTGGGGTGGGGCGGCTGGAGTGGGAGGGGCGGGACGGCGTTCGGGTGGGTTGGAGCGGGTGGCCCCGATGACCGACTAACGGTGCGCAGCGAGATGTGTCCCAAAGAACACGAGCATCGGGGGCTGGAGTGAACGGTGGCACCCTACAAAGACCAGGCAGGGCCTCGGAGACATCCCAAAGTGGACTCGAGCCTGGCGAAGGTCACCTGGTTAGGCCCCCTGTTGGACCCTCTCCTAGCAATTCTTTGCCCAAATACTGGTCTGGGCCTCGAGGTGGGGGTTGACAGGGAGGTGGGTTTAGCTGTCTCCCGCTCAGATAGTTTGAAGATATATTTCTCAGGGTCTCAGATTGCCTTACACTGGATACCTCCTCCTAGTTTGCAGCAGTTCTGGGCCTGTAGAACCTCAACGTGATGAATACGTAGATCTGAGACTCCTTTTTTTAGTCAAATGGACCACTGAGTCATCTTTAAACACCATCCTTGGTCCTAGCCAATTGCAAATTCTGCCTGCAAACAACGTTTGAAGCCAGATTTTTCTTTCTAAATAACTGCAAGACTGAAGCTAGCCATCTTTTGAGATTGCATTTGCTCTTCCAGCTCATTAAAATATGTTGATTTCTTCTTCTTTTTTTTCTTTTTTTGGCTTAGGAAAGCAAGAGTAATTTCAAGGCAGGCCCAGCAATGACAGCTTAGAAATGAGGTAAGCTGTCCAAGCAAGATAGAGGCTTCACTGTAAAGTAAACACAATGTAGGTGCATGCATTTACCCACTAGATGTACCTTTGGAAAAGTTCTGTCTAAACAGAATTTCCAAATTTAATTCTTTTTCAAGAGAAGTAAAGCCTTTTATGTTACAAAATTTTACACCCCCCCCAACCATGAATGTATTTTCTTAAAGTAACAGTAACCTAGTGCCCTATGGATTAGTAACTTGCAAAACTCTCTTTTAACCACAGATCCACTTGGACTCTAGAGGCTCTGTCTTCTACATGGATCATTTCCTTGATGTTCCATTGTATGTATTTTCTTAACCCTGATGCTTCCTGCTGAGTTTCTGCTGTATCATATGTAGGAAAGTTGCTTATAACTTGTTTTCATAGTCATCTACACAGACTAGAATGTTTGTCACACGCAAATGGCTACCAAGATCCCCACAATCTAGGGCCTGAGGATCCAGATGTGATAAGCACTTCCTCACTGTCTTCCCTGTCCCTCACTAGGAGGTTGCCACCGCCTCTGATCTCCCTTTTCTAGGATGGGTGACAAGTGAGGAGGTGACACAGTGACGCATGCAGTTAGGAAATGGCTACAGCTGTGTAGGATAATGTTTTGTTATATTATTGAAATTCCTCAAGAACAGAGGCACTATCCCAGGTATAGGATTATTTTCTAAAATGTATTACTTTATGTAATATTTCTCCATAAATGATGTCCAAATGCAGGTTGCACCCTGACATCTGAGCTGCAGCAGTGTAAAAGGAAGCTGTCCTGCCATCACCTCAGTATCTCCAAAGCTAACCTCATTCTTTCCCCCTCCGTTCCAGATTCAGCTGTCTTCAACAATAAGGAAAATGTATTATCTCATGTAACAAGAAAGCTAAGGGTAGGGCAACTGTAGAGTTAGTTCATTTAACAGCTCGGTAACATGATCAGGGATGCAGATTTTTTTCCATCCTTCTGACGTCCCAAGGCCAGTGTTCCGATAGTTAAAAATGGCTGACCCGGTTCTAACTGACGTATGCATACACCCAGCATTCCCACGTGTCTCTTTTTATTAGCAAGGAAAACCTATCTATGAAGCCCTCAGGCAGACTTCCCACACTCTCTCACATCTAAATCAGTCACCAGCAAAAAGTAAAAAACAGTCATGAATGGCTTTAATTATGATTCACCCCCTGTGATTGGGAATTAGAATCTCCTCCCCAAGCACATGTAGAGTTAGGGGGATACCTGGGCAAAGTTGGGGTTCTCTTAGGAGGAATGGAGGAAGAATAGTTGTTGGGAAGGCGAACAGTAGTGTTCGGTACAGGTGGTAATAAAGTAAATGTATCAGTCAGAATAAGCCAGGTTGGGCTGTGGAAATAAGTGATTCCAGAGATTTATAACAACAAAGTTTGGTTTTTGTTTTTTTTTCCTCAAAATACCTCTATGATCACTGTAGGTCAGCTTGGCTGTATTCTAGATTGTCTTTATGCTGGCACCTAAGCTGATAAAGCGGCCTTTATTTGGAACAATGTTGGTATCATGGAAGAGGAACCATATACTGGCTGCTGATACATCTTCCTGGAATCTGTACATGTTAGATCTGTTCATATATTCTTGGTCAGAACAAGGTCACCTGGACAGGTCTGATATCAGTGGCATGGAGAAGTATAATCCTTCTCTAGGAAGGGCAGCAAAAATTTGTGAAACTTTATGACCTACAATATCGTTTGCCAAAACTGAGGACCAGAAATAGCCAAATCCTGCCCTGGCTGGGTGGCTCAGATGGTTGGAGTGTCATCCTGTACACCAAAGGGTTGTGGGTTTGATCCCTGGTCAGGCAAATTGCCTATGGGAGGCCGATTGATATCTGTTCTCTTTCTCTCTCTTTCTCTCTCTCTCTCCCTCTCTCTCTCAAATTAATAAACATATCCTCGGGTAATGATTAAAAAAAAATCCTGCCATGCTAATCACTTGTCCTGTCTGTGGGGTTACTGAGGGAACTCTACACAAGGAAGACATTGGAATAGAAACTAAAGGATCATTTTATTCGTAGCTGACCTAGCACCCAATAACTTCTAGAACAGAACTCTGCCAAAGACTGAGTTCACATGGCTTAGGTTGAAGACTGAGATGAAGCTTCCTTATTCCCTGCTCCCCCTCCACCTTCTACATTTTGGAACTAGCAAGTATAGGCATGCCTGTGGAAGAGAGGAGAGGATGATCAGATTTGCAAAGCCGACTAGCTTTCCTCATCTAAGTGTGTCCTGAATGGACTCTGGGCTGACCCTACTCAGCAAGCAATATGGAGCAAAAGCAGCATGCGTGGTTATGCGACCTTTCAATCACTGCTGACCCCAACCACTGGTGAAAGGTGGACTAATGAATGCCCTGGGCTCTGACCAATCAGATTAACAACTCCCTTTTGGGGGTATCTAGTAAGAGGACAGAATAGAGAAGGGAATTCCTTCCTATGCTCCCACATTCTCACTTTGGTTCTCTCTTAATCCATTAGGAAGAGAGGTACATAAGTGCCCTGCCAAAGAAATGCATGTGCGTGATCTAGTTGCCTTTTTTGATCTAGACTGAAAGCCTCTCAAGAGCAGGAGCCAATGCATCATGCAGCACAGTTTTTACATGTGGTGAATACTCAGGCATCTGCCAGTAATGGTTATAACTCATTTAAAAGACATCATTGCCATTTCAGTTGACAAAACTGTGGTCAGTTACAGATAAACTAGGTTTTTGTAACCTGGGATTCTAGGGCTATATTTCTTTTCTTACTTCCAGCCTTCACTATATATTGGCACAAAAGGGTATTGAGATGTGGATCTGGACAGTGGAAAGAAAGCAAAAGTCTTCATAAATATTACATATGACCCCAAGCAAATGGATGTGCTAAGTATATAGAAGATCAAACTTCAATTGACCTCAATAAATTAGAGAAATGCTCATCAATAGCAGGTTAAAATGCACTAGAATGAATGGAAGGTAGTACATTTCAGGAGTAAAAGAGTAATCACACGCACACAGATTCAAGAGAGAAGAACCAGCCATGCAGAAACGTGGCCAAGAAAGACCTGACAGATGTGGCAAACCAATTACAGAATTAATAGAAAAATTACAGATCTAGAAACAGAAGCCTATGAAGCCAAATATGTCTTCACATTCCCTGGAACCTGGCATGGCGCTTGGCACACAGTAGTTATTGATAAATATTTATTTAAAAAAACGTGACTGTAGCTGTGGTTAGATGAAAGCCTTGCATGACCTCTTCATTGCTACTCATCAGGACCCACCTCACAGTCTGTAAAACAAGCAAAAAGACCCAATGCAAGTACAACTTCTTCCATGTTGCCTTCCCTAAAATTCACCCTATTCTCAGCTAGTGGAAATCTCTCCATTTCTGAATCCTCATAAGCAGTTAATAACTACTAGCAATTATTATGCTAGTGATGGGCACTAAATAATTGGGTGAATTATGACAACCCAGTATACATTTTTAAATTATAGAATTAAAGACTAGAGAAAGGTGTTTGAAATTTTAGAATAATTTATCACTGCTGACCCCAACCACTGGTGAAAGGTGGACTAATGAATGTCCACCTTCTCACCTGACTCTCACCTTCCCATGTCTGTTTTTTTCTATGCTGTGTGTAATTCAAGCTCACGCACCTTATATCCTCTCATACCAGGGTCTTAGTGAACAAGCAGCATTTATAAAAGGGGTGATGTGATTTACATTTTGTAGATTGCAGCAATTCACTTGGAAATCCCCCCTTACAACATGGCTCTTTTTCCCAATCTCTCTCCCTCTCTCTCTCATTCTGCCAATGGAGATCTTTTCCATCCCCGTCCTCAGCCTCCAGCCTTCCCAGAGCCCATGCAGATTCCTGAACCCTTCAT